ATGGTGCTATGACATGCTCTGACACCATCCTGCCCAGGAGTGGTGTGCTCGGCATGATTGACCCATAGCCTAAATACATCAACCATAACCCTACATGTGATAACGTGCTACTGGAACATTCTAGCAAGGCCTAGAATGTGTCTAGGTGTAGTCTAGCTCTTCTAACAGTCTGGAACACTACCGTGTGATCCTTATCCCTAATCTGGAACCCTAACCCTGTATTCTATGATAAGATAAGATGTAGATATGATGTAACATTGATGTGACAATGAAGTGACAGTGACTATCAGTCACGGATGCCTAAATGGGAAAATCTGTGACAGGCGTACTGTTCCCACAGAGTAGACGTCATCCCAAGGTTTATCAAGCATCCACCAAGCGGAAGGGGAAACGATGCGACTTCAGGCAGAACCGAATTTTGGCTGACCCGGTACTAGAGATATCCTATCAGATATAGAACCTTGAGCGCAATAAATTGGACTTACAACGTTGTATCCCGGGGTAACAATAGATAAGACGAAGATGAACAGAGCTGGAAGCCATTTCCGATCCCATATTGCCCAGATTCTAAGCGCATTGAAAACTGTACAAGGAACTATGAGCATCATTTGCAAGGACAAATGACAGTCCATATGTCGCTCACTAGCATCGACGAGCGTCACAATGGAGTCAAGAGCGTTCAATAATGGAAAGCTGACCGAGCAGCTGGAAGATGAATATCAAAATCAACACCCGGTTATATTATTTAATATTTGTATAATCAACCTACGCCTGTAGATTATTGTGAGATATATATCATCGAAGGATCGCAGTCACTAGTACTTACAGATGATGAATCACTCCACATACTCTGAAGGATCAGGAAAATCATACAAAGTGTCAAGTACCGGTTCGCTACGAAGATAACGGTAACTCCAGTAACTTTGCAACGCCAGATATGGTCAATTTCTTGCGGGAGAGTGAGGATGTGGTCATAAATCGCGAGAGCTAGAAGATAGATTCTTAGCGCCAGAACGTAATAATTGTTGTGCCATTTGCCTGCAATAGCTACAATTGCATAGACAGCATTTGATCTTCAAGGAGATCATATCAGTGCGATGTACCCAAGAAGCAGCTGAAAGACATACTCAACACTGTACGTGATGTGTTCTGCATCGCTCATAGCTTTGCAAAATTTTGTTGGAAGGAGGACTTCAAGTTGGCTGAGCTATTCGGTAGGCTGCTTGAGACGTCTAGAATCTATAAGTACTGCTAGCAGGTCAACCTCCGGAAACAGGGACCTTTGTATTGCCGATTTGATCTCATTACTATCGGCTGAAGTGGTCCACAGAGCGGCGATGTTTCGTCCTTGACGTATGGCAAGGTTGCCGGTGATTGTGTCTGGCGCCCCGATATCGCGGAGTAGCCATAAATGCACATCGACGAGGGCTTTCACGGCAGCTTGAACTTTGCGTTTCATGACCTAGACACTTTGGGAAAATAAGTTCCACATGCGGCCACACCCTCATACTATGCTCCGCGACGCACGCACAGAACGGCATCCTGAATTCATCAAGCAAAACATGCAGTTATGCAGCCGCCTAAACAGGTAAGTTGAAAAGGAGACTTAGTTTCCCGTTCCAAAGGCTGGTATACGCCGTAAATGGATTCAGGCGACTAAATAATCGTATAGAAGCAACACCCACCTAATGATTGAACCATCTGGACACATGCTCGAAGTACTGATTCCAAGAAGTTCACAATCCTCCATTCCCGGTTGAAGCTTATGTCGATGTTCCACGGTTCTATGATAGACTATTCACGCTGTTCAGAATTGATATTCGGAGCTGCAATTCTAGATGTCTATCGTAAAGCAAGAGGTTAATCACGGCCATAGTCACGGAAGCGGACATAGATACCGTGACATCAGTACCGCCTCGATCAATTTATTTTTCTGCTAGACTTGACAGTGATTTTCTCAGATCTGTGCTGGTAGACCAAGGTTTGTGAAATTTGATTTGATTTGATTCCCTGTAGGTGCAGAGCTTCGAGCTTCGATTTGTCCAGAGCTCGGGCTATGCAGTACAGGAGAAAGCATACCCGATATCCAACCCATGCTAGTGAATTTCGAATTGCTGAGGAGAGCCAATGGAATAAACACGGACGAGTAGTTGCATGAATCCGAGATGGTCGTAAGACTTGGAGAACGACGCAAGCGACAATGCGAAGATTGGGAAACAGGCGCGAGATCTTAGAGACAAACAAATTTCTCGCGACGCAAAATACTCTGATGAGAGCTTTCAGTCACGTCGGACGAAGGAGTTGAAATCCGCCATCGAGTAGATGCTATATCATAGTATCAGAAGTGAAGCTCAGCCTCCTAGACATCTGGATGTTTGTACACACCTTGTAACATTCCTCAATATGTTTCGTCGTGATATCAGTGAAGTGGGACTTTGATTGTAAGCACTGCCAAGAGGCAATTTGCCAAAGAGAATATGCTGCAGCGACATATCTAATGCCAGTTGTGACTTTTTTCAAAGCCTCTGCACAGCAAGCACGGGCAGAATCTGTAACAGATATGTGTTCCCCACGTCGCGAGTCGCAAGTTGGGATAAGGTAGTACCTGCTCTGGCCATGAGTCTTTTCCATAGGACAGATTCTTCCATGCGAGTTTTCGGTGAAGACCCGATGAGAGGGCGATGATAGTGCAAAATATTGTCAATTAGTCATAGGAATGGAAATGAAAGCAGCGCGGATCAAAAGAAACGAGGATCGCGAAGACGCAGTGCTGCACACGCAACATTCCTCCGAGCTGATGCAGGACATCGACCCGGAGCCCCCACCTCCGGAGATCGATCCAGACATGGGTCAGATCAATCTCTCTTTCGAGGGAATGGTAGGGACTGCTCCGAGTCATGCCATACTAATAATTAGACGCGAGTATAGTAGGCACTATATTGATAGAATAATTACAATGGAAATGCTGGGCGTCTGAGGCCATCGAGCCATCCAACGCCCCGGCAGTTGTGGCAAGATGGCCGAGTGGTCTAAGGCGTGTGACTCAAGCGAATTTTAAAAGCTTGCCAGCGAATGTTGGTTTTCTCATAGCGAAAGCTGCGAGGGTTCGAATCCCTCTCTTGTCATTTTGTCATTGTTGCAGGTTAAGTTGTGAGTTTTGATTTTTTTATAAAGCCTCAACGCTTTGTTTTACCTTTATACTGACGCATAAAGAGGAAGCGTTGAAGACCGTTTACAACCAGTTTATAAAGAGTAAAGAGTAAGTTTACAATTATGGTATGTAGAATAGCTTTCCCAATCCCTCATTCGCTCTTATGACTTGTATATCGTTCTTTTGGTCAGCCGCGGGAGTAATGCGGAAAGTGAAGGTTGGTACACTCGCGGGACTAGCACCACAATTCAGTAGCTTGAGATACACGGTCCATACATACATATACTTAACAGCAAACATCGACTCTAAATTTAACCTTTCTCGCTGTTCGTCTTATTTTCATTCTTCCAATTTATACACTGCACAGAAAGAGAAAAAGAAATCAATGAGCGATCACAGGTAGACTGAATGATGTTTTCTAAGAAATAGCCGTACCAAATGCTCCACCACTCGGTTTAGTAGCAAAGATCACTTCGCTCAGCCTCTCTCCCTCCAGGTCGCGATATGGCGGGTAAGCAGCCTTGACGCGCGAGATAAATCCTTCCACGTCGTTTTCCGCAACGAGCGAGACCGTACATCCGCCCCACCCGGCACCTAAATCAGAATAATCCTAGTGAGTCCAAAACCAAAAGCGAAGCGACACGCGAAAGGGAGATATATAAACGCCAGCGAAGGTGACATAGAGTGGAAAACGAAATAATGGACATAATCATAGCACAATCGGAGGTGCGAAAAAGAACACAAAAAAAGGAACAAAAACCGACAGATAAAGGATTGAACATACCAGTTAAACGACTTCCGTAAGCCCCAGCCTCCCTCGCAATAGTGGTCAACCTATTCAACTCTGGACACGAACACTCAAACAGCTCGCTACAGCTCTCCTGCGACGCATCCATCAACGCTCCAAGATCCTTCAGCGTACTCTCCGGGAGATCTCCTTCCTCGGAAGAACCAGACACAGATAGACAGAGTTTGCGGAACTGGAGAACGCGGAGAGCTTCGGAGAAGACGTGCTTTGCGCGTTTGTACAGTTGGAAATGCGTCGCTTCGACTGGTTGTGAATATAAGGGATGAGGGATGATGATCTGAGAGAGACAGAGAGATGGTACGTACCGTCAACCCAAGAAAGGTACACCTCCTCAAATACCTCCTTGCTTAACCCACTCGCCTCTACCATTTCCTCCATCGTCAACCCCTCCTCTCCACCCACCCTTCCCACCAGCTTACTCGCTCTCAAAACTTCGCATTCCCCCAACAACCTGCCCAACCCTTCCTCCAGCTGCTCCACACTCAATGCCGGACTGGCCTGCCCGCGCACTTCGTTCGTTTCCAACACTTCAGAGCCAGGGATGCGGATGCGGGCATTAATGTATGCGCCGAGGATTTCGCGGAGTGTGGGCTTGGACGCAGGTGCACCAGAGATGAACGATAAGGAAAGGAGACGTGCGAGGATCCGGGCTGCGACGAGGACTTCGACGACACGGAGGTTGTACCGTGTTTTGGCGCCTGAAGATAAGATTTGTATGTTGTTAGTGGCAATTCAGAAGGAAAGAATAGGAAGGAGCTCACCGACGACTTTGTCGCTGACTACTAACGAATTCGCGCATACGAATACCGCCCGTGGGACAGTGCGGGTGATGGGCAGGAGAATACTCTCGGCGTGGAGGACAGGGAAAAAGGAGATGTATAATGCGGAAGTGGGAAGGGAAATGACAGAGGCCGCTTGGTCCATCCCGCCACTATTGACACCTGGTTTCGAAAGATATTGAGATTACCTTTTTTGGACGATGAGAGAGAAAGGAAGACATACCAACCCGCTTTTCGTTCTCCACGGCCATTTCTACGAGCTCACCCTTCCTCGTGCCTTGGCCATCCTTGTCGAGTTTGTCATTGACGGCGAGAAAGGCGAGGGTGGATGCGACGACCATGGCTGCACTGGAAGAAAGCCCAGAACCGGCGGGAACTGTGCCAGTGAACAGAAGGTCTACAGGCGTGGGTCTGCATGGGGAGATGAGGCGAAATTTGGGAGTAAAGATTGTAAATGTTTTGCTTACTGCAGAGTACCTTCGGTCTGGGAGGGGTCGAAGAACTGGTTGAGCACTCCATAGTACCCTGCTTTGATATAGCTTTCCCAACGAAGTTGAGATTTGTCGATGGGGAGATGCCATATCCCGTTTGAAGGACTGAAATTTGTGAGGAACTGCGAGTGAGATCAGAGGACTGGACGTACTCGGGCTTGAAGGTCTGCGGGGTATACTTTGTATCCAGATTTTCTGCTCTGACTTCGCCTGTTCCGATCTCGCCCTCTGGTCTTTTCCCGCAGGCGATCAATACATCTCTCTCCACTGCCGTCGGCAACACTCCGAAAAGCGCATAGTCAACATGCTCTCCGATGAGGTTAACACGACCGGGTGCGCGTGCAATGTGGGTGGGTGGGTGTCCGAAACGTTTGGTGTATTCTATGGCTAGATCGTTGAAACGGGCACTGGGAGCAGACGGATGGATAAGCGGGGTGAATAGGAAAGGTAAGGGATATGAAAGTACGCTTCACGGGCTGCGGTGACCAGATCAGGGTACGCCTCGTTGAGATTTGTGTATGTCGGGACAGGGAGGTCGGCTGCCATGTTTTAATTGTGGAAGTGGTAAGGAGAAAGAAAAGGAGGAGGACATCGATGTGAGTGCTTTGGTCGGAGTCGCCTGATGAGTTCTGCAGTCCAGCTCCGGCGCGTACCGTCCCGTCCGTTCCGAGATTTCCGACCCAACCGTTGTATCTCTCGTTTACACCGTATAACAGTCGAAAGGTTACATTGGCCTTCTTGCATCGTTTAATGCACGTTCTTTTCCTTTCCGTCCATCTCGCCAGCGTAAGCCTTATGTTATCTGCTTCTAGTTCAGTCGAAGCAGCATACTCAATGCGTGGTCTACATGCCTTTCGTATTCCTTACAAGGGTCCACTAGCCGGAGTGTTTGCCTTGCACATTCTATGCCGTTATTGGATGTAACGGCGCATAAATATCGCATGTCTACTAGTCGTTTTTGAGTTTGTGCCGTACTCAGCTTGTTACCCGACAGTTTTCCACATATTCCCGACGCAGACTAGATGAACTTCGGGTACCCTGTCGCTGACTACTACGGCAAGTTCGTCAAATCTTTTTTCTCTCCAGAAGGCTATACGCCAATACACTTGCCTCTACTACAGGCTTCTATGTGACAACCTTGCCACATTTCGACGCCTCTCCGATGCGCTCTTCATGTACATGGATCAGTCCTGTGATATTCCTGAGCTGAGGTGTACGGGATACATCGAGCCAGCCAAGCATGCCCAATTTGCCGTATCGATGGGCGCACCACAAGCTATGGTATGTCTGTCGTCCTGCATTCGCTTCCGCTCGAGAATGCTGTGCCGGTATTCTGAGATTGACATCTTGGGCTACAGGGACAATGGTTACAAGATTTCTTAGGGTCATATTATCACATGGCGGTTCCTAGTTATATATATTCAAGCCAATTTCCGGTTCTCAACCAAGAAGCATGGTTCCATCTGCAGCTATTCAACGCACAGCTGAATCCAGATAGAGCTCACCAGGTCTGCATGTTTTCTCCATCTTCTTCCTTTCCATATTCCCTGCATATCTGACGCATGGGCATACGTATCATAGGAATGGTCTGCACAACTTTCACGACTGAACCTCTATGACTCCATCATGAACTGTCCCTTTCCTACATATATGAATCGGCAATGCTTCCCTCCATATCCAGACAACCATCGGTCTTCCTTTGTCAGCGGTTGGCTCGGGCAAGCGAAGCAATATATGGATTGGATGGTCACCCAAAGTCATTACGCACCCATGCCAGTCAATATGTCCCACTGGCAGCAACCATACACTGTTACCCATCCGCAACCATATGCCGTCACCTATCATCAACCATACGCTGTCACCCATCAGCAACACCACAACTGGAATGGCCATGGTGCAGGCGGCGGCGGCGGCGGCAAGAAGAAACCGGATTATATGGAGTGGATGAAGATTGGGGCTCCCATTGCTTTCCATATCGCTGACATTGTAATCAGCGGCGGTGCGTTGAGCGGATTGCTATCCAATGTTTTCAACGGCGACTTCTTCAATGGATTCAATGGGCTTAATTTCTAATGTAATCATCGTTAGTTGTACACGGGTTGTATGGCATTACTATGTAACTCTGTATCATTTTCTTACTCAGTCTAGTTCTTCAGTTAGTAGCTTCATTTTTATGCGCTCTGCGGTTTGTAATGGAAATAATTCCAGGCCATTTAAACTTAAATAAGATTACTTTCACTGAATTACCCACATCCTATTAGAAAAAGTCGATTGTCACTTTTTAATATGGTCAGCAACGGAGACTACCCACATCATCCCAGGATGGGAAGGAGGCTGGCTTGGGAACTTAACATGTACAAACAACAGTCGCCTCAGAGCGCCCGAACGGCGACCTTCAATTCCCAACCTTCTCAACCTCCTATCGATTCCTGTTTTCCCTAAGCAACAGATACATGTGTCGCGTTGTACTTGTATGAAATCATATGTGCAATTTGACCGTTCGTGCCAGTGTTCTCTTGCATTGCTCCAAGGACACGTTCAACTCGGAACGTGCAAACTTGTTGTTCTCTGCGTGCATTGATCAACGGATTCAGAATAAGTGCGTGCTACCCAGAACGACCTTTCTATCTACTTCCATACGTATCCTTTAGTTTTAACTGGTACTACCAGAGTCAGGATCAAAGTATTATCGTCCACCCGGGTGGCCCTCTCGGATTTGTGGCAGGAGCCGAATTGCCGTTTGACAAAAGGAGGCAGCGGGGATTAAAGGAATATAACAAAACGTGCGCTGACGTTTAGAGTCACAAACCTGAGTACACATCGTATGCTAGTGGGATGTCCCCAGACGTGAGGTGGACTTCATGGAACCGATGGCCCCCAGTTCGATATATTCTAC